CAAGGAAGACGGCGACGCCATCTGCCTCCTCCAGAAGTCCCTGTATGGCATCAAACAGGCGCCCCGCCTGTGGCAACAGTACCTCCACACAGTGCTCATCGAGCTCGGCTTCCAGCAACTTCCCCACGATCAGGGGATGTACCGCCTTGAATCCCGCGGTCACTTCATTCTACTCGTCGCCTACATGGACGACCTTCTCTACACCGGAGACAACGCGGAGCTGCTCGATCGCTTCGCACGCGACATCCAGGAGAAGCTAGAAGTGACCATCGATCATGAGGTCACACAATTCCTCGGCCTCAACGTCACCCAGACCGCCGACACGATCCACCTCTCCGCCGCAAAATACGCCGAGACCCTCGCCAAGAAGTTCGGCATCGCTCCCATCGGCATCAGCACCCCGTTTCGCACTCCTCCGCCTAACCACGAGCCCGATACCACCCCGCTATCCCCGACCGACCATCGTCTCTACCAGCAGCAACTCGGGTGCCTACTGTTCGCCGCCGTCACATGCCGCCCGGACTTATCTTACATCGCCAGCCAGCTCACCCAGTACCTGCGTTGACCTGAAGGGGAGAACCTGGCAGACCTGCGCCGCGCCCTACAGTACTTCATCTCTACGCCCGATGTCGGCCTCACCTACACAGCGAACCTCACGGCTAATCTACAGCTTACTGGCTACGTGGATGCAGACCACGCCGGGGACGCAGATAACAGGAGATACCGCACAGGCTTCATTTTCAAGCTCGAACCTGCAGGAACCATCTCCTGGAACTCAACAAAGCAGGAGCTCATCGCCCTCTCGTCAGCAGAAGCAGAATTCATCGCAGGAAGCGCAGCAGTTCGCGAAGGACTCTACCTCACGGAACTTCTACAGGAAACGAAGACGGCGATGAACGGGTCCTTCAAGTTACTCTACGATAACCAGAGTGCGATCAAAATCGCAAACAAGCCAGGCTTCGTCAACCGCACGAAACACATCGCCCTGCGTTACTTCTTCGTCAAGGACGAAATCGACAAAGGGAAGGTCCAGCTCACCTACTGCCCGACTGGCGAAATGGCAGCTGATTTTCTGACGAAGAAACTGCCACGTCAGAAGTTCCAGTACGGCTCGGACCTATGCGGAGTCGTCCGAAAGAGCCACGTGGCGCACCTCCAGGAATGAAGGGGAGTGTTGGAGTATGAAGGGAATTACACTTAGCATTCCCGTAGGTGCAGCACTATCGCACCAGTCCCTATCGAAGCAGCAACAACTGCAGTATCGGATCAGCCCGTATCAAGGGCAGGAAGGTCAACATTCGCAAGAGTCAACTGTCGCGACTGTTGACCATCTGGACCGACGATTGACCTACCATCGAGGAATGGCAACAGGCGTAACCGTACGTACAGGTTACATGCAGCGACTCGGTAACAAGAAAGTAGTGCAACAGTCAGAGTCACTGTAGAATTGCCTGTAAAGCAGTTAGAATAAGGGAATGTACCCCTCAGAGTACATGGCTAGCTAGAACTATTTATTATGTGTGTAATCTTTGTTTTAATCAACTTTGTCATTTACATTTACTATGAACAGAGTTCCTGCAACAAGACTTCCGCTACCAAACTATTCTAAGGCTTTCCTATCCTATCCAAGGTCCTCACTATAACAATTGCCATGGCTCCCCCTGCTCGACCACCCCCAGATGGCTTCACATCTCCTCGCCATTGCAGTTTCGGCACGGCCGATGTACCTGGCCCGGACTATGCCGCCGCGTCCGGAGGTGGTGGAGGCCTTTAGGGATTGGGATAGCTGTATGGAGGATTGTTTTGAGCAGATTTTCCCACCTGGCACTTGGGAGCAGGACCCCGACCGGTCTAGGCGCGCACGCATGCAGCTGCATCTCCCTGTGCGACTCGGAGGGTTTGGGATCCGGGCGGCGGCCTCTTTGAGTCCGCTTTCCTATGTTTGTGGGTGGGCGCAGGCCGAACGTGATATTGCACAGTTGGGGGTGGCGGGCGAGGAGGCGATGTTTGCAGAGTACCTCACCACTTCGGCAGGGGCGGAGTTTCTTGACCCGTGGTTTGCCAAGGCTCTTGAGCAGCTGCCTGCGACTATACGCCAGGAGATGCCGGGCTTACCTCTGTGTGTAGCGGCCCCTCCTCTTCGGATTTTCCAGGCGCGGCAGCGGCAGTTGGCGGTAGAGGAGCTCCAGGCACTGCGCCGCTCGGCTCGTGACGATGCCACCCTGGCCCGTTTCACATCCCTTCAGGGCCCGGGGGCTGGTGCATGGGTTTCGGCGGTCCCGGCTCACTCAGATCTCACATTCACTGCGGCGGAGTGGGGCATTGCTGCTGCTATACGGCTCGGGCTCCCAATTCAGCAGCTGCAGGTGGCGGGGAGGTGCGTTTGTGGCACAGCGTATGTTGACCCAGCAGACCCGCATCATGCCCTGAGATGCAAGCACCAGCACGGTCCATCTCGGGTGCATGATGAGGTGAAGTTTGCGGTGGCGAGGATCTCTAAGGCGTCAGGGGGGGTGGTGACGATGGAGGATAGTGTGGTGCTGCTGGGGAAGCGGGTTGACGTAGCGGTGCGACGACCAATGGCCGGGGAGGCTCACGCTCTAAAGATCAGCGTCGCGGACCCGCTATCGCTGTCTCCATCTCTGCTAGGGCAGTGCGGGCGTTCTATAGGTGTGGCGGCAAGGGAGTGGGAGCGTCGCAAAACGAGTGATTACGCGCCTCTGCTTGCACGCAACCGGGGCGTGCAGTTCACCCCTTTGATAGTAGAGACGCGGGGGTGTCTCGGCGGTCGTTTCCGGCGGTGGCTTCGTCAGCAGGGGGGCGCGCACGTGGGGCTAGCCGTGTCACGGGGGGCTTGCCGGGAGGATGACACTTCGTTTTCAGCTTATCTTTTGGGGTCTCTGAAGGCGCTCATCGGGGTGGCGTTACAACGGGCGCAAGCTCGTGTCATCTTGTTTCGGGCGGCGTCTTCCATGGGGGGGATGAATGTGGATTTGGTGGACCGGGAGAGGGACGACGTCGAGGTGGAGGGCGGGGCTCTTTGGGTGGAGGCCCCGTACATGGTGGATGCACAGATGTGATTGAGGGGGGGGTGAAATGGGAGCGGGATGGGGTGTCTTGATGGGGCGTCTTGACTGGGTGTTTTGATTGGGTATCTCGATGGGGTTTTTATGTGTGTTGCATTTGGGTTTGATTTTTTGGCAGTTTTACTTTCCTTATCCCTTTCCTTCTCCATTTCCCTTCTCTTTCATTTATGTCTCTCTTTCACCTTTTCCTCTTTCTGTCTAGAATCATGTGATGTACGCTTATAAAAGAACTAGGGTAAGCATGTTCTCGGGTAAGACGAACCGGTTTGTATATCATATGTGCGTTACCGGACGGTACTGCGCGTTGCAGTACGCTTCCTTCAAGATATGCTCTCATACGAATCTACATGCCACGCCAGATTACCAACCTAGCATGCAAGCAACAAACGCCAGAGCGCGCGTCGGCAACAACTATGGCAACATTGGCTCAACCACAGGGTCTCGTTTCCTTCCCACGCGTTAGGAGCCACGAGCAATATATTCCGCTCGTCCTTCTCGTATCAGCCATGACATTCGTCCGTGCAGCAGCCACCACCACCGCAGCGTCTGGAGAAACATCCGCAGCGCGCGTCGCCATAGCCAGCTCGTTTCTCCACGCGAACCCCTGGGCGCTGCTCGTCGGCTCGGCTCTGGTCATCATCGCCGCAGGGAGCTATTTCCGTCGGCGCCGGCAACTGCGCGCTCAGGCTGCTGTGCCGCCAGCTCAGCGACAGTCGACACCCACGCAGTCAGGTTCGGTCCATGAGTGCGCGGGGATTTTTAGACGACTTTATAGTCAAGTCACCTCCCGGTTGTTACGTCAGCCTCGGAGGTCTGCTCTTACCTTGTTAGTCTCTGTGGGCTGCTCACCTGTAAACTCTAGTTACGATTACTCCGCTGCCCGGCTTCACCTGCTTGTGCTTCTGCTTTTGCATTCGCCACTTCCTTTATCCCACAGCTTTCTGCCCTTTCCTCCACTTCTTTCTTTCTCTCTCACATACACATACGGTACACGCACCCTTCGACCTGCTACCATTCATATTGCCAGGTTCCAAAGCTCCTACGGATTCAACAGGTATGGCACACCAGCAGCACCAGCAGCAGCATCGGCGGCCTGAGCAAGCCAGCACGAGACCCGCCTCTTCCTCCGCGCAGCACGCTTCAAGGAAGCAGCAGCTGGACGAACAGCGGCGCGCAGCCATGGAACGGCTACAGCAGCAGCAGGACCGCGCGGGGGCCGAGTGGAAAGCGCATGAGGCTGAGCGGAAGGAGGAGGAGCGGAAGAGGGAGGAGGCGAGGCGGCACAAGCAGCTGGAGTATTTGCAGGAGGAGGAGGTGCGGCTGGGGTTCAAGCATAAGGAGGAGAGTGGGGATTGGGATAGGGGTAAGGGTAAGGGGAAGACTGAGTAGTGGGCTCGTTGGGTGTTGGGAGGGTGTGGTGCGTGCTGTGGTGGGATGACTAGGGTTAAATTTTCCGGGTACCTACCGTACCGTACTTGGGTTGCTAAGAATGGTGCTCGTTAGTCCCCCTCAGCTTCATCATACCACATTCACTGCAGTACGTAGTGTTTGTGTAGAGACTGCATGAATTGCGTGAATGCTATGATGATGCATTGAGAATGCGAGCTTTTCTATCGTGTTGTTGGTACAGTAACTACATGTACACTCAGTATATGATATATTCATGCATTCCTGGCACAGTGAGCAATGCCAATTCATCTATGCTTCTGTTGCTGTAGTGGGTGTGGTGTGGTGCAAAGAAATCACACCTGCTGTACAAACTAAACTCCTGCATACTACAAAGGTGTGCTGAGACCTCTCTTGCTGGAAAGAAAAGCACGCCTGAAGGCTGAACCAGCGGCAGCAGCAGCAGCAGCCGTCCCTCCCCAGCCGTACCTCGGGCCGGGCTCTCTCTATCTATGCCTCCCTCTCTCACTATGCGGTGGGAGCAGGGGGCCTGTACGTGTCCCTCCGCCTGAGCCCCTGCGAGGAGAACGAGGAGGGCTGCTGCAGGTACACAGTGGTGGGGTCATTAGGGTCCATGTATGCACTGCGCATCATCTCATCCACTGGCAGGCGCTGCGAAGGGAGAGGATCCATGGCAGGGGAAGCAGCAGCGGGAGAAGAGGCGGAGGTGGTGGAGGTGAAGGAGTCGCCTGGTGCGGCAGCGGGCGAGGCGGGGAAGGAGGAGGGGTGGGCGGAGGCGCGGAGACCGCGGAGGATGGAGAAGAAGAGAGGCAGGAAGGTGCCCACCCCGCCATGCATGAAGTAGATCGTGAAGGCGTGCGGGGCCTGCAGCGCCGCGTGCACACTGCTATCCGCCACCTGAGGGGTGTTGAGTGCGGTGGGGTGGGTTGAGGTGAGGTGGGGTGGAGTGGGGTGGGGTGAGGTGAGGGCGGATGGGCACGCCAAGGGAAGTTGGATGGTGATAGGTCTGGAGCCAACACCAATAGCCAGAGCGTCACAAGACAAAGTGGAAACGCACAGAGAGGTACGGCAAGGGAGAAGCAGGAGAGATAGAAGCGAGGGAGGAGCGGAGGGGAGAGAGTGAGGCAGGGGCAGGGGCAGGGGTGGGCCTCACAGGCAGCACGACGCCTGAGATGTTGTTGGCTCCGAATATGGGCTGGTTGAACTTCTCCCCGTGCACGTACAGCTGTTATGAGGAGTGGAGTGCGGTGCAGGACAGAAAGGTGTCGACGTGGGGTGAGCGAGGGGGAAGGAATGGGGGGCAGATGGGGGAGAGGATGGGGGATAGTGGATACGGAGGGTATGCATGAAGTGCGAAGGGCATGTCAGAAAGGTCAGATTGACAAGGCCGGGCGAGATGCTTTGCATGTCAGAGGCGACCGTTTACATTCTTAGACGGACTGAGTAGGGTTTTGAGCAAGAAATGAACGCTTGTGAGAGGCCCTAACAAAGGGAAGAAGCAGGTTGGCTGTATTCAAGTTGGAGATGCCGGTTAGAAAAGGCCATGGGAGGGGGGAAAGGGAAGACCAAGCGAGCGGGAGAGGTATAACGGCAGAAGAACGGGAGAAGGAAGAAAGGAAAGAAGTATGGGCTAGGGAGGGACGGAGGAGCACAGAGGGGCGGGTAAGAGCGGGGCAAGGAGAAAGCTGGAAGGTGAAGAAGCAGGAGATGGGATGGGAGAGGCGAGGACAGGAGGCGAGGACAGGAGGCGAGGAGGACACATACAAGGGGCATGTCGAAGGCGAGGAGTGGCGGCTGGGTGGATGGCTGGGCGACGAAGACCATGCGGATGTTGGACAGGAAGAGCGACCCGCGACACACCCACTTGCCGCTCGCTACCCTGTGGTGTCATGCGCGCGGCGAGGGTGGGAAGGAAGGAGTAGAAAGGCGACGGGGGAGGGAAGTTGGATGTGACGGAACGGAAGAGTGGGGTGACGATGAGGAGGAAAGGCGTCAGGGACGAGCTGAGATTCGATGGGGGGATTTTTGAGGCGTCTAAAAAATCTACTTGTTTCACGAGGCGATTTGAGGTAGCAGAGCAGCTGCGAGAAGCGGAAATAGGAGCGGCGGACATAGAGGGTGCGGCGTGAGGTGAGCAAACGGAATCACGGGTGAAAATCGGGACGAGAGAAAGCGAAGAACGGGGAAATAAGAAGGCGATGGTGAAGACGACGGGGAGGTGGGAAGGAAAAGGAAGAAATAACGCACTGCAACATGTTTTAAAATTTCTCAAAAGTGACCGTATTAGTGATACGCACTGCGGCATCTTATCGACGTGGAATTCGATGCCGTCGCGCCGAAGCACCATCACCTCGCCCACGAACGGCACGGGAATCCCCTGGCCGTCCAACTGCGGATTCGCTGCCATGGCTGACCCGGCTGAGCTGAGCAAGGTAAGAGGTTGCGCGAGCCCCTTGTGTGATTTGCAAGCTGGAAATAACTACGCAGCTGTAGCGACAGCTTCCCGTCGAGCCAGCTGAAGTCTATCCGACAGTTAGGGATCTGCTAGGTAATTGGAACAGATGGTGATGTTCGTGGAACGGCGAAATCGTTGACTGGAGAAGAATGAAGCTTCTGAGACGTTTATCTCGTGCGAAATGGTTTGGAGTAAATAGGCATACGGAACCTGAAAGAGAGGTATGCAGCAGTCAATCGGAATGGATGCGAGAATTCGCGACTGAACGATATTGTCGTTACCTTGCATGTGCGAAAAAAAGAAAGATGGGTGCATGTAACAATCGGCGGTTGGACGTTTCGCGAGTTTTGGCGATGGAAGGGACGACTCGTAACTGTCGCACAGGGATCTGAGTGCATCATCGTCAAGAAAAATACTTCACGGGGCCGAAGTTGGGAGTTTCTGGAACGTTTTGGAACTTACAGCACCGCGCTGTACCCGTTACGATGTCGGCTGGCGCTGCCAGATGGTCGTCTGCGATTCATCGCTTGTCAAGCGAATGGGCTGGGTGGGTGTGCCAGCTCCGGTATCCTCGCCACAGGCACCTTCGCTGTAGCCAATGTAATTTCTTACGAGTGTTGCTCACTCGTAAGTGTTGACAAGTTCGTTTTGACCTCTCATCTCAAATGTTCCATTTCCGCGCATTCTTCTCGAATCATCACATCATTCCATCACGTTCTCCCGACTCGACTTGATCGTATCCCACACGCCCATGGCCGCCTCCACACGGGTCGCCGTAATTTTCGGGTCAATAATAGTGAAAATAGACGACTCAGACCAATAATACTTTGCGATAGTTTTGAAAAGAGGCTACAGGAGTGACAGGCACGCAAATTAGGGTTCCCGTCGAAATTAGGGTTTCCATCCTTGCTTCGGATCTTGCCAGCCACGTCACCAGAGAAGCTCGCCACACCGATGGAAGCCCCGGATATTTCCTGGAATCCACTGGAGATCCTCCTCCTGTTCCGTTGCGTGGCGAAGCTAGGCCTTTCTGACAAACCTCTACCCAACTCCTCCCGAACCGTACCTGGAAGCGCGGTGGGCGTAGCGGTAGCCGGTCCCAGCGGTTCAGATGGGTTCGTAAGCCGGAGCGGCGACGGCTGGGCGGTAGTGGCGACGGAGATGCAGAAACGGTCGGCGTTTGTGTCCCAGCGGCCGTTGGATCGCCCGCACACTGCGCAGGTGCGTCGGATCTGCATCTGTCTCACCGCTGTCTTCCCACCTTGCTCTTCTCTCATCCCTCCTCCGGCCTGAGAGTTGCGCTGATGGTACTCGTGCTGCTCCTGCTGCTCCTGCCGCTCCTGCTGCTCCTGTTGCTTCTGCTGCTCCTGCCGCTCCTGCTGCTCCTGCTGCTCCTGCTGCTCCTGCTGCTCCTGCTGCTCCTGCTGCTCCTGCTGCTCCTGCTGCTCCTGCTGCTCCTGCTGCTCCCACTTTCCATGTACTCCACTCCCCCAGCCCGTGCGCGCTTCAGAGCAACCTCATCCTCTGCTCTTTCCCCCTGCGTCCGACCGTCCGTCCGTCTCTCCCTCGCCTCCGGCGCTGCAGGAGTGCTCGCAAGTATACGCCAGCGTCGTTGGAGGCATTTCACGGCCGGCCAAGAACGCTCAAGCGGCTGCTGCTGCTGCTACAGGCGAAGGGTTGGCGCCTGCACCTTGCCCCGCCGTCGCCACCGCCGCTGCCGCCGCAGCTGCTGCTGCTGCTGCTGCCGCTGCCGCGGCGGCTGCTGCTGATTCACAAGGCATTACTCATGGCAGTTCACACGGCAACAGCAGAGCCAAGAGATTAAAAGGGGGTGACACAAACGAAGGTCGTGTAGGAGGGTTCTTGTTGCCATGCGCAAGAGGCGTGCTGGGCAGAGCGGAAGCAACAGACGGGCGCGCAGGAGAAGCAGACGCAGGGGTAGCAGAGAACGAAGGGGTACGGACAGAGGAGGATGGAGGAGGAAGGGACGAGCGGGGGCAGGAGGGTGAGGGGGAGGGGGGGAGAGGGAGAGGAGAGGGAGAGGGGGGGGGGGCAGGGACAGAGACAGGCTAGGGGAGCAAGGGCGCATGTTGGGGATAGAGGGGAGATGGTGGAAGAGCGGGTAAGGGCAGTGGTTGTGAAGAGGCTGCAGCGATGGACGCAGGGCAGAGAGAAGAAGAGGCGAATGGGAGGAGAGGAAGACGGGGGGAAGGGCGCGAGCACGGAGGAAAAGGAGCAGGCGCGGCAGGGACAGGGGCAGGAGCAGGAGGAGCAGCAAAGGCAGGAGCAGGCGCGGCAGGGGCAGAGACAGGAGGCGCTGGAGCAGGGGGTTAAATCGGTGTTAAGCGAGGGTGTGGGCGAAGAAGAAGGCAAGGGGGAAGTCGATGATGCGGGTGAGCGGGGGAGGGGGAGCAGTGCGCAGGAGCGAGGGCAAGGGCATGCAGAGGGGCCAGCAAGGGCAGAGAATCCCGATGGGGCTGTGCCCTTAGAGCGCGGTCATAGGGTCTCGGATCATAAGGAGCATGTAGGGGAAGCAGGCAGGGTGGGCGGTAGAGAGAGGAGGGGAGGATGGATGGAGAGAGGAGGTGCGGATGAGATGGGGGAGGGGTTGGGCAGAGGCGGAGAGGAGGGGAGAGAGAAGGTGGTGGGGGAGAGAGGGAGGAGGCGAGGGGGAGAGGAGGAGGCGGGAATGAGGGTTGCTGGTGGGGAGTGTGCAGGTGATGGTGGGGCGAGAGATGGGGATGGAGGGGGGGAAGGAGAATTGGCACGCAGGGAAGGGAAGGGTGAGAGGGAGGGCGACTGGGGAGGAGGATTTGGGAGGGCTATGGCGGGTGAGGAGCTTGCAAGGAGTGCCGTGGCTGGTGGCAGTGGGAGAGGGAAGGGGGAGAGAGGAGGTGGGGGAGAAGGAGGAGAGGGGGGGGAAGGAGGTGGTGGAGGGGAAGGAGGAAGGGAAGGTGAAGGGGAAGAAGGAGGGGAAGGAGGAGCGGACGGGGAAGGAGGTCGTTTGAGAAGAGGGGGAGAAGGTGGATCGAGGAGAAGGGGATTAGAAGGCAAGCTAAGCCATGTGTATGCAGGCTCTGAGGGCGTTGGTAGGGGTGACGCTGGGGGTGCAAGTGGAAGGGCGGAGGGGGGTACGGGAGGCGCTATGGAAAGGGAGAGTGCAGGGGAGAAGAGAGACGAAGGCAGGAGTGGGGTGGAGAGGGGTGCAGATGGGGTTGTGTGCCAGGGGTGGGGTACGGGGGTTGTAGATGGGGAGAGGTGTAACGCGGTGGGAGGAGACGGGGTTGCGGTGGTGGGGGGGAGGGATGAGAGAGATGGTGGGCCGTGGGAGGTGATGGTATTGGAAGGGGGAGGCAGAGGAGAAGGGAAGAGCCGCGATGGTAGTGGGGGAGCAAGGGAGGCGAGAGAAGAAGTGTGCGAAGGTCTGGGGGTGAAAGAGAAAGAGGGGTGGGGGAGGAAGGAGGCAGCAGAGGAGTGTAAGGAGAGGGAGATTCAACAAGAGGCAGGGACAGAGGTTGGAGAGCAGAGAAGGGCTGTGCGAATGGTGGCATGCAATGGAGATGTGACAGGAGAGAAGAAAGATGCTGGTGATTCTGGCATAGCGGATGGTTTCAATTTCAACAAGGGTGATATGATTGAGGGAGAGAAGGAAGAGGGAATGGTGTCAGGTAGAGGGGAGGAGGAGGGGGGAAACGGAGCGGTTGGGGAGAAGGGAGTGAGCATGCAGGGAGGCAGGCCTCCAGTGGCTTTGGAGAGTATTAAACGATTGGAGAGTTCTAAAGGATCTCATGCAAGGAGCGAGGGGACTGGTGTTGGGGAAGCAGCGGTGAGAGATGCAGTGGGAGCAGACGCGCAGAGGGGAGAAGCGGGAAGGGAGGAGGGTGAGGGGGAAAGGGAGGGGAGCGGGGATGAGAGGGGAGATGGCAGGGGAGCGAGCGCGGGAGGGGTTGGCGAATCAAACGAGGAGGTGCGACTTGCGAAAGAAGATCAAAGGGTGCAAGTAATGCAATCAGTGCTAGAGGTACGGTCCGTGGCAGCAGCAGCAGGAGCAGCGGGGCTTGCAGGGGGCCTGTGCTCACTACTGCCAGAGCAGAATGTGAAAGAAGGGGCAGTGGGGAGGGTGCAGTACAGGCGGAGGAAGGGCGGCTCTGGGTCCACACCGCTCAAGAAGAGAGGCCCTGTGTCTCTTGCGGATCCACCTGTGTGCCAACTGGATGCTGCTGGTGATGGCGGTAGTGGTGCTGGTGGTGCTGCTGGTGCTGGTGCTGGTGCTGGTGGGTTGCGTATCGGTTCTGATGCCCACTCCCGCTTTGCTGCTTCGGAAACAGCAGCCGCCGCAGCAGCAGGCACAGCAACTGGCTCAGCAGCAGTCACTGCAGCAGATGGTAATTCTCCCCCTGTTACATCCCCCCCTCGCACGCTACTCGATCATCGTGAGACGGAATGCACGGAGGTTACTTGCAGGGTGGGGGGAGGGGGTGATGGGGGTGTGGGAGTGGGGGAGGAGGGGGTGGTGGAGCAGCAGCAGCGGAGACCGGGCTTGGGGATGCACTGGCAGAGCAATCAATTGCATGAGAAGGAGGAAAAGGAGAAGGAGAAGAGGGAGGAGAGGGAGGAGAGGGAGGATGGGTTGGATGGGAGGGTTGTGGAGCAGAGAGAGGAGGGAAGAGAAGCAGAGGCGTGTATAGGGCCACTGCAGGAGGCGTGGGGGGAGAGGGCGGAGTGTGGCGGGTGGGAGGGCGGGGTGGGGTCAGTGGTGGGCAAGTCAACAACAGTAGGGAGGGCAGCCTTGGAAAGGGCAGTGGTACGAGAAGCTGAGTGGCAGGAGGTGCAAGGGCCGTCCAGCCCACGCAAGAGACTCAAACGCTCAGGCTCCTCTGCAAAAAAGGCATCATTCAGTGCGTCTGATCCTGCTGCTGCTGCTACTGTTGCTGGCGTGCCAAGGAAACCGATGCATGGCGAAGAGATGGGCATGGGAACGGGAACAAGTCCTGTGGTGGAAGAAGGTGCTTCGAGAGAGCGTGGTGAACCTCAACCACACACCAGCCATGGTGGTAGTGAACGAGCTCTAGCTGACACAGAAGCCATGTCTACAGCCGCCCCTGCTATTGCTGCTGATGGTGTTGCTGCTACTGCCGCTGCCGCTGCTGCTACTGCTGCTGCCGCTGCTGCTGCTGCTTCACCAGTCACTGCTGTGGTTGTGGAGGGCAACGGTGTGAGCCCTGTGGATGGAGGTGGGCGGACACAAGGCACCTCCTTGCATGCGCGTGTAGGTGGGGATGCCACGCAGCACAAAGGGACGATGATACAAGCCGCTGCTACTGGTGCTGCTGCGACTGCAAGCGACGATGCGCATGGGGATGCACATGCACTAGCGCATGAGCATGGGAACGAGGATGAGCATGGGCGTGAGCATGAGCATTTGACAGAGGAGCAGCGTGCAGTGGTGCAGGCATGGCGTGGCATGTGCGCGCATCCCCTTGCTGCCACCTTCTCTTGCCCGCCTCACTCGAAAGTAAGCACCCCCTCTCTCCTCCTCCCTCCCTCCCTCCCTCAACAATCTCAAAACGTATCAAACAAAGGGTCCCTGTCACAACCTCTCTTGCTCTATGTGTTATTTGAATTGAAAGGCCTCCGACTCTTTTCCCCGTCCACTCTCATCTCGCCTCCTTTTATCGAAAGGCCTCCGGGTTCTGCTCTCACCGCTCTCAACCACCCCGCACCCATCCCGACTCCCCCAGGAGCACCCAGACTACACCTCCATAGTGCGACAGCACATAGACCTGAGCATGATCGGCAGGCGGGCTTTAAGCGGCGAGTACCCGTCCCGGCACGCCTTCTTCCGGGACGTGGTGCAGCTGCTGGCGAATGCCTTTGTGGCCTTCCCCCACGACTCGCACCACTTCACCGCTGCTCTCTCCTTCCGCTCGCACCTCTGCCAGGTGAAATTGCATGGGTGTGAGGGGTGTGTGTTGGGTGGACGGACTGGGTGTGTGTTGGGTGGACGGACTGGGTGTGTGTTGGGTGGGGCTGGTTGGGTATGGGGGCCTGGTTGGTTGGGTGCTGTGTGCTGCCGATTGCTGCGCCGCTGCTGTCTGTGCTGGATGCTGCTGTTTGTTCTATGTGCTCCTGTTCCCTGCATGGATGTGGCTCTTCCTTTATGCTGTATCTTTGCCCTGACCTGCCTTCCTCTGTCAAGCCCATATTTAAGTCTGCTTTTCTCTTTTCTCTTTCTATCCCTCGGTTTTCCAAGACCCCCTCTCGTGTTCTCACTTTATGTACCCCACATGCACTCACTCCCTCAATCAATCACCAACTCACTCATTCACACAATCACTCACTCCCTCATTTGTCTATCCCCCTTTCTCGCCAACCTGCTCTCTCCATTAATCCACCAACAGGAGATGTCAGCAGCATTCTCGCAGGACTCGTTTCCACCGCCCCTATCAGACCAGGAAGGTGCAGGCATGCACGCACGTGCACATGCACACGCTCTCACTCACTCTCTGTTGCCTTCCCCCTGTTCCCTTTCCCGCCATCCCCCCCTCTCTGTGAATTTAATAGGAGATGTCCGCAGCGTTCCCCCAGGACTCGTGGCCTCTTCCCTTGTCAGACCGGGGAGCAGCAGGCATGCACGCGTCCTGCAGCCACAGCAGCCGCGAAAGCTTCCCCTCAGGGGCTCGTGCAGGCACAGGGAGGGTGGGGAGAGGGGTGGCGCGGGGGAGGGGGGGTGGGGTTGATGGGGAGGAGGGGTGGGAAGAGGTGGAGGAGGGGGAGGAGGGGGAGGAAGGGGAGGAGGGGGAGGAGGGTGAGGGGGCAGGGGCAGGGGAGGTTGGGAAGGTTGCGAGGGATGGAGGAGAGGGAGGGGATAAGGGTGGGAGGATGGAACAGGAAGGTGAGGAGGAGGGAGAGAGGAAAGGTATGGGAGGCAGTGAGGAGGGTAGGGGGATGTGCGGTGGAGGGAAAACGTGGAGTGAAGCAAGAGAAGGCAAGGGGAATGCAGGTGCGAAGGGGAGTGAAGGAAGAGAAACGAGTAGACGTGGCGAACACGAAGCTCCTATGGGAGGGGGAGGGAGAAGCGGAGGGGAGAAGGGAGAGGGGAGAGGGGGAGCGGGGGTAAGAGTAGAGATAGCGGACGGGGGATGCTGTGAAGGGGAAGCAGTGGATGATAATGGTGGTGCAGGGGATGCAGGGGGTGCAAGGGGTGCAGGGGATGCAGGGGATGCAGGGGGTGCAGGGGGTGCAGCGGGTGCAGGGGATGCAGGGGGTGCTGGGGGTGCTGGCACCAAACCTGGTAAGCATCATAAACCTACAGAGCAACTAAGAGGGGGAGAAGCGGCGGGAGCAAACAGAGGCAGTGAGAGAGAGGGCGGGGAGGTGGAGCAGGAAGGGAGGGACGGACGGCTGTCCGGGTGTCGATCGGGGAGGAGCAAGGCGAGCAGCAGCGGGAGAAGCACAGGAGGGGCGTCAACAGGAGCAGGGTCTACAGCAGGCGAGACAGAGAGCGGTGCAGGGAGAGGGGGCGGAGGGGGGAGCGGGAGAGAGAGAAGCTCACAAAGTGAGGCAGAGGCAGAGGCAGAGGAGGCAGCAGCAGGGGAGGGAGGGACTGGCACGCACACCAGCCCTACTAGTCCCACTAGTGCTGGTGGGGAGAGTGGGAGGGGCATGGTAACACGGCACAGGAGGCGCATGCGAGGTGACTTTTGAGTCGACTCAAAGGTCACTGCGGGGGGCATGGTGACACGGCAGAGGAGGCGCATGCAGGAGGATGGGGCAGCGGAGAGCAGGCAGATCCGGCCGAAAGAGAACTCAAGAGGGAAGGCAGCAGGGCGATGAGAGCCGAGGGGAAGAGATGAGAGGGATCGGTTTGAGGGGGACTTTTTAGAGTTTTCTAAGTGTGACTGGGTGTTATACACAAGGAGGAGTAGAAATGCATGGGTTTGAAGGAGCAGAGGAGGCAGATTGGGTGGTGATGAGGTGTGCGGCATTGGCTTCCCATTGCGGTGGAAACCTTGTGGTTGGGTGTGGTTGGGTGTGGTTTCGGGGATCCCAGGGTTTAGGGTTTGGCTTGGTTTACGGGGATCCCATACACGTGCATGGGTTCTTCCCCCCTCTGCTGCTCCTGCAGCAGTGTGGGGGGGAGGGGGAGGGGGAGGGTGAGGGGATGGAGGGGGTGACCAGCCAGCGCCAGCCCGCCTCCTCTCTCTCCCTGCCGCCCCTCCTGTGGTCGGGGGGGGAGGAGAGTAAGGTGGTGGCAGAAGTGCCTTGCTGTCGCCTGCCCCTTTGCTGCCGAACCTGTTCTGCTGCCTTGCCTGCTGTTGCTGTTTTCTCTGTCTGTGGTGTACCCCTGCAGGTTGTGTCTTTCACTTAGCTATTCCTGCATGCAGTTACGGGGGGATGTCAGAATTATATATAACTGCATGTAGTTCTAGCTGTAGTGTAGTCATACATTTGTTATTGCTTGGTGGTGCACCCTTTCTGAACTATAACTTGTACTTGTTTCTCATATTGCATCATTCCTCATTTCTTCACATGGAATCAGAGACTGTTACGTCCTGGCCTGTGGGCCCCACGTGCTTCCGCTGCTTTCCTCTCTGTCGCGCGCCCCGTGGCGCACGACGCTTTTTTTCTTCCCGCCACGCGCTCGGGGCGCATGGCGGTTTTCTGCCCGCCGTGCGCCCCGAGGCGCGTGGCGGCTTCCTTATTCGCGCGTCACCCCGGGGATCCCAGGAAAGAACCCATGCACGTGGTTGGCTTGGCAGGGTCTCATGTCATGTGCTGTGTGTGCAGTGCGCACGCACCTATGGGCGCGTGCTCTCTCATCCTATCCTACCCCTCGTAGCTCCTGTGCTGCTGTGTCTCGTGTGCTGCTGTGCCTCCATGCCCCCGTATCACATTACACGCACTCGTGTGTGGTGAATCCCATAAATGCACAGGGCCAGAGGACGCATTCGGATGCATGCATGTGTGCCCAGTGCCCAGTGCCCAGTGCCCAGTGCCCAGTGCCCAGTGCCCACCCATGTGTATTGCACCCGGCAGTATCTGCGATTAGTGCAGGGGAATGTGTGCTGCTGCCATGCATACATGCACGCGTTCACGCACACATTCACGCATGCCCACATGATTGTGTGATCCTCCTGTGGGGTCTGGCAGGCAAGCTGTGGGCTTACTTATCATAGCATGACCTAATATAACCTAGCCTCAAACTACGGTACTCCTGTAGGCAAGAGGGCAGCCTAGGCTAGCATAGCATAGTCGACCGCAGTTTTGTCTTATAGAGTGTGTGTGTGGGGTATGTTGGCACTGTGTTGCTTGCAGGGCCTGATGGTAGGCCGCTTTTTGGGACTTACCCTTCTGAAATCAGGCTATGAAAAGTTTTACCCTAATGAAATCAGGATTCGTTGTATACTACACTGGTAACAATTTTGGTTACACTGGCTGTATCAGGGTACGGGCCCAACTACACTTTTACCGGATCTTTATGTTTACCGAGGATTTCGCCACAGTGCGCGCCAAGACAAAATTCTCCACGGTCCCACTGGACCATTTGTACGGTATGCCCAGTGGCGTGCCAGCGTAGAAGCAGTGCGGCTGCACGCGCGCTCGTACGATTGGTCCGTTAAGCAAGATTTGCGCCAACGCACCCGGGTTTAGGGCGTTCCCGAAGCATCGCTCACTGCCAACGGTGGCAAACCGCGCGCCAGGTGGGTTTCGTGCTGTCGTTTGCACCACATGGCAGTCATTGTTGTGTTGCAGCCTATGCCATGCAATTCCCGCGGTGCGCGGAATTCGTGAAGCTTGAGGGTTGTTGGGCTTTGTGCTTCACAAGGGGTCTGCCAGCTTCTCGCCATTCTCTCATTTTTCACACGTTCGTCGTTCCGAAATGCCTGCTGCAGAGCCAGATCCGCCTGGTAGCACCGGTAGCACCAGGAATGGTCTCTCCGTTCTCGGTGTGTTACCTCGGCTGCGTGAGAGCTATAGCGTTCCCATCTCTCAGCCAGCGCGTGAGGCATCCCCAGAATGTGGTGTCGGCACCGTTTACCCGTGCGAGCGTACAAACTCGCCAAAGTCGTACGAGCCACACCCGTCTCGAGCTTGTTCCCGATGGTGGCGAAGGCCCGTCGAAGCCAGCAACTGCAGCCCCGTCCACTATTAGCACAGCGCCCTTGAAGCGACAGCGTGTGGGCATGACATACAAGCAACAGAGGCTATGGGGCGCCCCTCCTACCCGACAGGCGGCATCACCACCACGCCGTGCTGCTCCTGTCGACCCGAAGCCTCCAACCGCCTCTGCAGAAGCTGAGTATGAAGCGGTAAAAGCAACATTCGATTCGCAGTGGGCAGGTAAATTCAGCTGGCTGCGCTTACTTTGCATGACTAACGGCAGGCCCTCGTTGAAATGTGCAATCTGCATCAAGCACGGAGTTACGGCCGCACACACTGCCTACGGCGTGAGAGGTGAGGGTGCGCGAGACATGCAGCTAGGCAGCATCCGCACACATCAAGCAGAGCCCACAAGCACGCGTTGGAAAACGAGGCTAAAGCTGATGTGGAAAAGGCGAAGTAAGTTACTCTCACACGGTGGCAGAGCACCGACGCATCTACGAAGCACATCATCCGCTGCCTCCACATCGCGCTCTTCATCTGCAAGGCAGACGCGCCCACAGCCATGTTTGTTCCGTTGTGCTGGTTTTTGGCTAAGGAAGGCTTGTCGGATCTTCCGCCGTCTGGAGGGTACGGCGCCTACTATACCGAGTAAGTGCGCTTGCTGGCGCTTGTGTTTTTGCACGACGTACTGCTCTCTAGACTAATGCAATGGGTACTCGTGTGCCGTGTGTTTTTTCCGTGGCAGTTACGGATTCAAAGAGAAGCTGCGCGCCATCTCCACGTACCTTCAAGAGACACAACGCGCCTACCTGCTGGAATCCCCATGGATAGGGATCTGTCTCGACGAAAGCACCGACCGGGTGAATGGAAAGCACCTAATTCTGTACGCGACGTTCTTCAAAGGGACGGCACCGGTAACGGAGTTATTGACTTTGATCACGGTGGACCATGCTGACGCAGCCTCGCTAACATCCGCCGTAGTGCAGTGTCTTACAGGAATAGGAATTGATCTGCAGAGGATTTCCGGAGTGTCTACAGACGGTGCGAGCGTGATGACCGGCAAGAACAACGGTGTCGTGGCGGGGCTGCGACTGCGCATTCCACACTTGGCGTCAACACATTGTGTCGCGCACAGGTAAATCGCTCTGACTGTGGGTTTTACAGTCGAATGAATCAACATCGCGGTAACTTAACGTCCTTGTCTGCTCTCCTGCGCAGGGAGGCATTGGCAGCTAAAGATGCCGCGGAGGCAGTCCCAGAGCTCAGCATGGTGGACGACGTGGTGCGTGCATTCGCAGAGCACATCGACCGCAGCAGCGTGGATTACCACAAGTTTCAGAACCTTCAGCGCGTCTACTGCTAGACAAATTTGGAGGCGCAGGGCATTCACGACGTGCGCTGGCTCTCCCGTGGCGAGGCGGTCCAGCGGCTCCTTGACTTTCTCCCTGCAGCCATCGTGGTGTTCAAGGATTACAAGGACTTGTACGAGGTAGTTACCTCGTTCAAGTTCCACTGGATCATTCGATTTCTAGCGGATGTCCTATGGGAACTCAACCAACTGAACCTGCGCTTTCAGCAACGGCAGGTAAGACACCTTTCGAGATTCATTGTACTTTCTCTCATGCCTGGAATGCACTTTCTGACCCCTTCTATCGTCAATCTGCAGGTTGACGTCACCCTCGTGGCGCACCTCGTACAGCAAACGAGGATGCGCTTGAAGACGCGCTACTTCGACAGGTCCCCTGGTCACACGTTTGGCAGCGGTGAGAAGATGCAGCTGCCTGACTTCATCAAGGCTCACCAGAAGCTGGATAAGCGAGAGATGAAGGCGGAAGGCGTTGACGTGGAAGGCAACCCCGTCTCCTTCAAATTCACCCTGCACGAACGACCACTGCCAGGCCATGAGACGGGGGGCGATGTGACCGCGTGCTTCGAATTGTCACTGAAGTTCATCCGCGCCGTTGACGAGGAGCTGGAGTGGCGCATGCGCGACCTCAACCTGCTGGAAGGCGCAAAGTTGTTTCGCACTGCGTCATATGTGTCAGACGACACCACGCGGCTTGAAACATTCAGGAAGTGGCTTGGCCAGCTCCACAAGCTGTACAACCACAAACTGCCCGGTACGCCTCGTTGATGTATGATGTGAGTAGTATCTGTTGTTGACTTGTTTTACTTTCTCGCGGTTCATTGCACCTGCTTGTGTTCCGCATCGCTTGTTGCTAGAGTCATGCTCCCCACCCGGCCATATGTTGTTGGACTAATGCCCCCCACTCCAACCCATATCTGTGAGCATATGCCTAGTCTCTACCCCGCCCCCACTACCAGGTTTCGACTACAAACGTGCCGGCCAGGAGCTATGGATGTTCACATCGACTATGTTCTCCCAGCACAACAACAAGGAGTTTCATCAGGCGCTGGGGAACATGCTGCGCGACGAGGCGTGGCGTGCTTCATTCCCCAACATCGTGCGGATGTGGCAGTCTGTCGCCGTGCTTCCACTGAGCACGGTTGAATGTGAGCGTGTATTTAGCAAGCAGAACCTCATAAAGATGTGGGGACGCGGCAGCCTCGGCGACACAAGCCTTGAGCACTTGATGCGGTGCTCCCTCCTGCAGTACGACATAGACTGGTACGAAGTGGTGGCCATATTCCGCGGAGAGAAGCTCAGGCGACCCACCAGGGACTTCTCTGGGAGTAAGTCGAGCCACGCACAAGTTGCAGAAGAAGCA